TGTGAAGTTCCGTGTTCACCTTCTGGGCTCTAGGCCCTTTGTGATCTACACAGACCACGCGTCCTTGAGAACGGCGACTAACTCGCCTCACCTCTCCCAAAGGATGGCGAGGTGGCTGTCCTTCTTCGCGGAATACAACTTCCGCGTCGAATACAAGCCGGGCAAGCTCAACGTGCTTGCGGACGCCCTCTCTCGGCGTCCTGACTATGAGTTGGCCCACATCACGCGGGTGACAACGGATCTATATGATCGGATACGCATGGCGTGTCGGGACGATGAGGCTGTTGCGCCTATCGTCAAGTTCCTTATGGCCGGAACGAGCGCGAAGTCCGACTGGCTCTCGTCGCGGCAGTGCTCACGGCTCCACCGATATGAGTTGAAGGAGGGCCTCCTCTATTACCGGGTGGAGCCCACTGCTCCTCCACGGGTGGTTGTACCCAACGACGAGGATCTGAAGCTCGACATCCTCGCGGAGGCGCATGACGCGCCCTCCAGCGGCCACTTGGGCCGCGAGAAGACTTTTCTGTCGGTCTCTCAGTCCTTCTGGTGGACCCACATGTACAGGTGGGTCGCCCGGTACGTCAAGACATGTGAAACATGTCAGCGGGTCAAACCCGCAGGGCACTCTTCGGCTCCACTTCAGAGCCTGCCCGTACCGGCTGACTGTCGAAAGTCGATGAGTCTTGACTTCATCTTTGGGCTTCCCGCCGACGGACACGGCAACACCGGAATTTTGGTGTTCGTGTGTCGGCTGAGCAAGATGGTACATCTTGCTCCAGTTCCAGTCACTGTTACGGGCGAACAAACCGCAAGCTTGTTCGTCGATGGCGTGTTCCACTATCACGGTCTCCCGGAGACGATTGTCTCGGACCGAGACCCGCGGTTCACTGCTGCGTTTTGGAAAACGCTGTTCCCTTTACTGGGAACTCGTCTGCGGATGTCCACTGCGGACCATCCGCAGACAGACGGCCAAACAGAGCGCGTCAATCGAGTGCTCGAGGACACTCTGCGCAGTGTGTGCGCGGCAGCACCACGTACGTGGTCGACGCAGCTTCCAGTGGTTGAGTTTGCGCTCAACAACGCGGTGCACGCGTCCACGGGGTTCACGCCGTTCTACTTGAACGGCTTACGCCACCCCAGAGTGCCTCTCACTCTTCGAGGAGACACTGACTCCTCTATTCTAAGACCAGTTTCGCTGCGGAAACAGGTGGAATCCTTTATGGATACCAAGCTGAGCATTGTCAGCAGGGTCCGCGATGCCATGGCAGCGGCCCAAGATGAACAAAAGGAGTACTCAGACAAACATGGAAGAGGAAACTTAAGTATATTTGAGGTTGGAGACTTAGTGTTGCTAGACACGAGGAACCTACCTCTTGACACTGTCAGCTCTGTCGGCAGCAACAAGCTGAAGTACCGCTTCATCGGACCTTTTGCAGTCCTGGCCAGACATGGTGCGTCGTACACCATCGACCTTCCAAAGTCAATGATGACGCACCCGACGTTCTATGTCGGACGTCTTAAGCGGTACTTTGACCCGCAGGGGGTTGCTGACTCGCAGACCCCCCTTGACCCAGCTCCTCGAAGCGAGGGCCGGTCACAGTCGTCGACGAGGTCATCGGAGCAGGCACCCAAGCCTCGGTCGGGACGGCAAGGCTGCGGTCAAGACCGTACGCCGGAGGGGCTCCATACGAACGAACACCGGCGCCATACGCCGAGTACGCTGAGTACGCTGGGTACGCACCATACGCGTACGTCTGGGAGTGTGCCGCAGGCGGCTCCGGACGTGGCAACAAAGCCTCGATCCGTCGGATCATGCGAAAGGCCTCGTCCAGATCGGTCGAAGAGGCCCAGCGATCCACCCGCAGGTGCAGGCTCGTGACCTCTCGCTCCAGCAGGTCCAGGCGGCCCGCAAGACGAGCGAGCTCGCCCTGATTCCCGGCCTGGGCGGCAGCATTACCGCCAGTCCCAAGGCCAAGTGCAATCTCAAGCACGAGGACACGTTGGCGGAGGCGGTCAACCTCAGGGTCCTGTGTCGGACCCGCAGTCGGAGCACTCGGACGAGAGTGGCTCTCGGGAGGCGCCGAGTACTCGTACTCGTACGAGGACACCTCCGCCCCTGCTTGACCGGAATGGAGAAGTCCACTTCCACGCGGAGCGGATCCTCCAGGAGCAACGGCGTCGCGGTAAGCGACAGCTCCTCGAAGTGGAGGGGTTATGCCCACTCCGAGAACTCGTGGGAGCCGATTGAACGGCTCCTGATTGACTACCCGAAGACTGTCGCAATCTGGGAACAGAAGCGGCGGCAGCTTCATAAGTAGTCCGGGGCTTCTTGCCCGAACGGGGTACGGACGATGAATACATACCGTACCCGCGCTCATCGTGAGCGCTAGAAGCCGCGCGCTTCAGAATGTTCCTTGGCAGCATACGCTTGCTGATCAAGTGGGCAAACCTCACACGAAGATCACGCTGGTCCAGGATGCGGGACAGCAGCTGATCTTCATGGAGTTCCCGTAACTCCGTGGGTGAGTACTTAAGAGTCTCCACCCACGCCCAGAACATGTCCTCACAAGAACTCCACGTGGGACAGTTCTCGGGCATAACCCAGGGGTATCCCCAAAGTGGATAGAGACCACCCCGGGTCTCGGGCTTCTTACGACAAGTCGTGAAGTCCTTAAGGGGAATGCGGTGTGGCGCGAGAAGCACACACCGAGCAGCCTCCAAGTTGTCGACGAACAACTGTTCTTCCTGAACAAGGGCTCGTTCATAGATGCCCCTAGAAGTGTGGCCGCCCACAAGGCCACGAGGAGCGACGAGAAGCTCTAAGAAGAGGTCAGCCCCAGAGCTCTCCTCGGGAGGCCAATACCCTCTTGAGTTGATGGCATCTCCCTGGCTGACGGGTGCCACCACCGACCCCCCACGCACACGCTGGGCAGCTTGGAACTCCTCCTGCTGCTGGTCGAGGTCATTCGAGACCTCCCGGGGCTCAACGATAGCACCCTCCTCTTCCTCTTCTTCCTTCTTCTCCTCCTCTTCATCCGAGGAGTCGAAGATACTCCGATAGGAGCGACGAGTCTCCTTCTCCTCGCGGAGTGGAGACTTAGAGGCTGTACGCTTCTTTGAGGGCTTGGCGCCTTCGGCTTTAGAGGCCTTAGCACGCGCAAGACCCTCGGCAAGCGAGAGACGTTTGCGAGGATTCTCTTCCTCATCGCCACCGGCTTTGGGAGCGCCCTTAGCCTTGACGGCCGGACTCTCAGAGCGCACAGAGGTCCTGGGACTGTGATCACGTTGATCACTAGCGAGCTACTGCACGCTGTCATCTTTGTGCTCACTGGGCACTGGGCTGTGCCCTCCCACAGAGTCCGCAGGAGCATCGTGAGTGCTCTCGGATTCGGCATCGTCCTCACTGCCCGAGTTGAACTCACGTTCCACGAACCGAGGGTTCGGACGATTGTCTGAAGATGAGGGCGACGGACTGCGGCGCTTGCTTGCGCGCTTGTCCACAGCCGCGTCACCCGAGGAACCGATCGCCTCGGAGGCCACCTGAGCAGCCTCCTTGAGTGCAGAGCCTTTGCCGTGAGGCTTAGTGCTCTTGGCTTGCGCCTTACCGGCAGCAGCCTTGGAGCGTGTCTTAGCACCGCTCTTTGCAGTGCCACGAGGCATGATAACGGTCGAAGTGGAGACCTAGACGAAGAGCGCACAGGTTGCTGCTCGAGGCTCTAACTGTGAAGTGAGCCTCCGCCGCGCTCGCGCGGCCAAGTCGATGGTTTTCGACTTTGAGAATGAGAGTTTGTGACGAACACCTCTTCATTCTGATTGGTCGGTAAACCGAACCTAAGTGGGGGGAGGATGTAACGGGGTACGTAGCCCTAAGTGTACCCTGGTTACATGAAGTGTGACACTTCACACTTCAGGAGTATGACACGTCATACTCCGGGATATTTGGTACAAGGTACCAAGGTCGTTCAAAGCCAACCATTGGTTAAACGACATTGCATTTCTATAGGTAGCTTATAGTTTGTATTAAACCCAAACTTAATCTATCTATAAATATACTCAGTTTACAATCTACCTTATTTAGGTCACTTCGCTCTTTTTAATTAAAGAGGGGACCTGTGAGCTGCCGTTCACTGAGAGTTTGTATACTCTCGGAAGATAACTTCCTCTAGCGCAAGGTGCTGTGTGACCCCGTCACAGTTCGTCTGTGGAAAGAGGCCTTTGGCCTACAAGCGCTGCATGGTTGTCTAGTCTACGGTAATCCTACATCATGGTGGAATGCTCGCATCTCGTTGGAATTTTTGGAGTACCATTTTGGGTTTCGCGAAAACATGGACGAGAAGATATTACTCTTGTGGGATGATTTTTCGGGGCATTGGACCAAAGAAGTAGTTGACTATGCGACTGCAATTAACATCGTGTTGATGAAAGTACCTCCACGGTACACTTATGTCTGTCAACCTGCTGACGTGGCATGGAACCAACCGTTTAAGAGCAGATTACGGGCAAGGTGGCTGGATCTACTAAGCAATCAGATATTGAATCACCACGCGCTCGAGAGAGATCTCGAGGAGCAGCGCCGTAAGGTTGCCGTTGAAGTGGCGGCCATTTCCCGGGCTGAAATACAAGAAGTTGCCCGTGAGAAGATTCGCAGCCTCCACGAGCAGATACTAAGCTCAAAGTTTGAGATGGTGGCGCCCAAGCGTGTGGATATTGCGTCATTGATTACCGAAAGCCGGAAAGAGCTCAGCTCTAAGACAATTATTGCTGGTTTTGCTAAAGCTGGGCTTCTGTGTGACGTGCGCGTGGCTGACGAAGAAGACATTAATTCGGATTCTTCCCATATTACAGACCCTGTAACAAAGCTCAATGATCTTGGCGTCGTGGGTCAGTCCGTCGATAGCGATGACGAGTATGCGAGTAGTGATGCCTCGGATAATGATCTCTTCTCCTAGCGATAACCATAAATACATGTAGTATATTTGCAAAGGTAACCAAGTGGACTTGGTCACGTAGCTCAGTGGTTAAGAGCACCGCAATTTTGCGGATGGACGCGGGTTCGAATTCCGCCGTGTCCAATTTTTATTGGCTAAAATAAACAATTTAAATATCAGCTAAAACTTAAGATTTAACTACTAATTTTGTGTAGCAACCCAAAACCTACAACAAGCTGCGCACACGGCCGTTCGCTTAGGACAGGGGGAAATCGGTAGCTCAAATTTTTAAAAGTTAACATGATCTTCTAATATAAACTCAGATATTTGAAAAATATTAGATGCAGTACTAGATTATATTTTATGATATTCCCACTTAAGTACTTTTCTTGACATCTTAAGTGCATCGAGGTCTCACCAAAGAACTATTTCGGATGTTCTAAAACAGCAATAGTGACGTAGGCTTCAAAACTGACGAGTATTTGCTCTAGTATTCCACTGTGACACAAACAAAGATGATCGAGATAACACTTCTTGCCAGAACCGCGCTGTAAAGCGTGGATCACGGTCCCACACATTTCGAGCGGCATTCCATGGTGTCGCAACACCATGTCAACAAACAGTCGTGCCGTCTGCACGGCCGTGACTTCAGCCGGTACTGCAGCACGATGAACCATCTGCTGAATCGGTCTACAAAGACCACAACGCCAGCCCTCAGCTTGTTGTCTGGCGGAAGACCGAAAACAAAGTCCATAGAAATGGACTGCCAACACTCCGGCGGTGTCGGTAGTGATCGTAGTGGAGCCTGTGAATACGTTGGCACACATTGCAAGCACGTACGTACTTGCGCACCCACTTGTACTGGTGGTTCCAGTAGAAATCTCTCGTGAGAAGGGTGTATGTCTTCTCACGGCCCGGATGCCCTGCCGGAGGGGCATCGTGATACTCGTACATGATCCGCATACGCAGATCCTAATCATTCGACACGACGATGCGATCCACATCGTCCTCCACTGCGCTCTAAGGCAGCAGTCCTTCGTGCACACGATATCGGTGTGCATGAGCTCGCAGATGTGGCGACAACCTCCGACGTGACACGTCGGCAGGTGCTAAGACCTAGTCTAGCAGCTGTTTCGCGTCTGCGTCTCTCGCATACGCGTTCATCACGTCGTCGATCAATGTCGACGACGGAGCAATTACTCGTTCGACGCCAATTCGGTTGACGTCGGCTGCCTTAGCAGCGTAATCAGGTCGAAGCGACAGCGCTTCGGCCACCACTTTCAACCTTCCAGGTTTGAACTTAACCTGGAAGTCGTACTCCGCAAAGAACGACAACCATCTCGCCATTCGTTGCGAGATGTGCGGAGTCTTCACTGCTGTTCGCAGTGAAGCGTGGTCGACGTAGACCACGAACGGTCTACTCCCAAGTAAATACACTCGGAACTTCGTGAATACATACTTCATGGCAAGGAGCTCCTTGTCATATACAGAGTAGTTACGCTCAGCTGGCTTCAGCTGACGCGACTGGTAGTAGACCACACGACCACGGCCCTCGGGATCGTGCTGCATCAACGCGCATCCGATCGCAAAATCGGATGCGTCACAAACGATGTGGAATGGGCAATCTTGGTCAGCCACTGCCAAGATCGGCGCCTCAGTCAAGCCTTGCTTGACTGTATCGAAGGCCTGCAGACACTCAGCAGCCCAAATCCACTTAACATCCTTTTTCAGGAGCTGTGACCGCGGGCGAATCTTGCCAGCGTAATTATCAACATACTTGCTCGAGTACCGAATTCTCTTAATTATCACGTACTATTTCTTATGACATTCAGAAGGGTTTCAGCTAATCAGGGGCCGAACTGGAAAGACCTCCGTGCATCCTTAGCTATCGCATTCAGTCGTACGAAATGTCTTTCTGCCTGTGCATTTTGCCATCGGATGGCTCCTGCGCAACACCGCCGCCCAAAAGGGCGACCACGACTTCCAGGAGGCCGAGGCCGTAAAGTGAGGAAGAACCGCGCACAAACTAGAGGTCTTAGACCATTTGTCAAGGGGTGGGGACATCAATCAGTCAATTCTATCCTGATCTTACAGCCGCCGTACACTTCGTGAATGAAATCCATATATCGGGGGATTTAGACATGGAGAATAGTTTGGACGATGATTTTGACGACATGTTCCGAGCCGTTGCAGATATTAATCTACAACAGTAGATTTTATTATGAACACTTTGGATAGACAGTACACACAATTTCTGGTCTATGTGCGAACACTTTTCTGAGTGTCATATCTAAGGGGATTCGGTCAGTAGCAGCACTTGTTGCGATGACGACGTATTTGCAAATAACGGCGACACAGACGACGAACGCTTGAGCGACGTCTACGGCTGGCTGGAATGGATCGTCAAGAGCAACCCCCCGCTTCACTTCTTCGAGGGCCAAGCTGCGACGCGGTAAGGAGAATTTTTGACTGAGTTTCACTTTGCTACGTATACTTTGACAGCTTTTTGTGAATTTAGCTACTCTAATTTGAACCAATTCGTGTTGAGACACTCATGAGTTCCATGTAAAGCCTCAACGGGATTGTGGCCGAAATACCGGACAGATTTGAGCTCCTCCTGGACAAAAATAGCCACACCTCGGAGTGCTTCATCGCTTGCCACGAAGTATGCAGCATCACGAAGACCCCGCCCTTCTGCATGGCACCCCACTTTAGAGAGCTCCACCGGGACCTCTCGGCACGTGGGCACTATGCGTTTCTTGCTGGATGCTGCCCTGAGACTTCAGCAAGAAGCTGAAAGATTGTCTATTGCTGTGGGCGACAACTATGCCGTTAACCGCCTGCTTGTCACGCTCATTGACATCCCTCTTGTTGGATGTGCTAGCCACCGGCTGAATCGAGCAGTCCAAGTTGATATGGAGTAGCACGAAAACGACATGACCTGTGTCCAAGCTCTGATGGTGTGCGTGCGCACGCTTAAGCAGCCCGCTTAGCTCAGGTATTTGCTGTTACAATATGCTATATGTTTGCAGGCTGTTCTACTACCCACGCCCCCGAGCCTTGGTGTATACTGCTGCTCCACCCTATTCCTGTGCTATGCTGCATGGCCCCAATTTAGGGCCAACATCGAAGTGTTTAGTGCCGCATCGGCCGCTACTGCACTGCCGTAGCTGCTCTTAAATAATTATTGTATTGGAATTTCAAAACAATAATTTACAATGGCTTTTTAAGATACCAGAAGTCACTTTCAATAGATTTTTTCCGCTTGTACTTTCTTATTTTTTTATTTAACTTTGCCATGTTTCTTTCTTGAAAAACAAATTTTTGAAGCATGACAGTGAAAAAATAGCTTAGTTTGGATACAATAATTTATTTTCACTTTTGGTCTCAGAAAAACAATATATCATTTCTGAGTGAATTGATGATATTATTGCAATGTTATTATCGGAGCACCTGTGCGGTAGCGCCTCCAAGACGCAAATTGCTTAAAGCACTGCGATCGTCTCTATTTTAAATACACTAAAATACGAATTGTATTAATCAAAACGAGTCCCGTTTTCAATATCGCTGTTGGATACAGAGACTGTTTTAGTGATTTACAGGAAAGCACTGTCGGATAGGATTTTGGCGATTACTAATCGACATAAATTAGGTTATTTTATGTGAGTGTATTCTAACTAAGTATCATATGATATTTTAACTTAGAAATCTGAAAATATAAGATACAGTTCTAGATAATATTTTATGATATTCCCAATTAAGTACTTTTGTTGACATCTTAGCATCTGCTGAGTGAATCCAAAGAACTCTTTCGGATGTTCTAAAACAGCAATAGTGAAGGTAGGCCTTAAACCTGACGGGTTTTTGTTCTAGTATTCCACTGTGACACAGACAAAGCCGATCGAGATGAAAAACCACCAGCGGTTGCAGTTGTTTGAAGTCGATAGAGCGAAATCATGGTATTTGCTCTTGTTATCTGCCTATAGCCTCGTCCACATCGTGCGTCTCATAAACTACAAACTGTGATACTACATTAATGCGCTCAGCAGTACCAATACACCACACCAACCTTGCCGTCACTATCACAATTGTCCCGGACTTCATTTCCCTCACTATTGATTAGGCCCTTGTTTAGGTGTGGGCACAACAATCGCGACGCTGCGATAATTTGAGGTTAGGGTGAAGTGGCTGTTGTCCAAGTGAAATATGGATGCTCAGTCCAGTCTTCTCCATAGCTTGGCCAAGTAAACGCTCGCAACCTACCAACCATTTGCCTCTAGCTAGAGAACATCTTGCTTATCATTTCATTTGGCATTTAGATGGACGAGTTGAACGACGTTGACCTCTGCCACCCTATAAGCAGCCCTGGTCCAACAGAATAAGATCACCCAGCGCTCGGAGCGAAAGCCGAGCCTGTGCCGTTGGCTACGAGCTCCAAGAAGTCGAAGATTGGGAAGCGATTCAAGTGGTGAGACGAAATGATTGCAGAGCTGTTGAGGCTGCGTTTTGCGGACGGCGACGTCAAGCACTGGCTTGAGAGTGCCCAGACGAAGAGCTCACACGTTTACTACTTGGAGAGTACTTTAGCAAATTACTCATGAACGGAAGACAGTGACAGTACATATACAATACTGTTCGCATTGGACGCGAACAGCCGAGATGATAGGAAAGAACTTCATGCTCACAGCTACCGTCTCGTCGCGTGCCCTCCAGTACCAAGACACATCCTTTCTATAACAATGTTTACGCTCTGAGTGATGGTAACTGCCGCTATAGCCTCCGCTTCTGGAAAGCCGACATAGTACGCCTGCACAAGGCTCTAAAGCGCGAGGAAGACTACAAATTGCCAAGCCGCGTTCGGGTTGATGGAGTCGAGGGGATCTGTGTTATGCAGCACCGACTAGCGTATCCAGGCCGGTACGGTGGTCTCGCCGTCATGTTCGGCAGGTCGCCTACTGCGCTATGCCTTATTTTCCGGCTAATGGTGAACCTCATGTACGCTAAGTACGCCCGACTGCTTGCGCTCGAGTGCGGCATTTTAAGTACTTCACGATGCGAAGCTTACGCGCAGGCTATATCCGCAAGGAAAGTCCGATTAAGAGATGCATCGTCTTTATAGACGGCACCGTTCGTGCCATAGCTCG